CCCCTCAGTCATCTGTTTGGCCAAGCTTTGTGAAAGCACCTCTTGTAAAAATCAAGCCCAATTTATTTTAACTAAATGGTACTGAAAAAGGACTAGGTTATTCCTAAAACTGGCAGATTAATATCTCTAATTTCTTGGTTATCCTGGTAACACTACAACAGCAGCACATACAGCAACTGTATTACTTAACTGGTCATCAGTCAGAAATAGGATGTTATGCCTAATGCTATTAGAATATATTGATTACCAGAAAAGATACATAAAAAGAATAATTTTTTTAAAAATTATCACTGCTTTAAATGTTTCTGGTAAAAATGAGTACATAAAGACATTATTTCAACAACATCATCAGTTGTTATCAGGATCCTTTAGAATATACAACTGGTTATAACACATTTAATTCCCCAAGTTCAACAAATTATAAAACATATCTTACCTAATCTTTTAATGAGTGAACAAATATGAAATATACACAGTAACTTTTTCATTTCACGTGGAAATAAGGTGGTATTAGGCTTATGTAATTCTTTAAATAAGAGTAACTACAAAGCTACAGTATAAATAGCAATTCTAATCCTCTTTAAAATTTAAACATCAGTTATTTTCATATAACCTTAACACTGACATATTATTTAGTAGATATGTCTTCTAGAGATATCATCTAGTGTCACCTAGTTAAATCACCCTATGCAGATGAGAATCTAATTTCTGAAATCTCCAAGGAAGAGAGATTTCAAAGACAGGCTAGTTATTGTTATTAAAAGAAGCAGAAAGGTCATGGGCAAGAACAGACAAAAATACAGGTCTTTAATTTTACAGAAACCAACTTTGATAGAAAGGCAAGAATAAAAGCCACATTACTAAGAGTTAAAAAGAAACTGGAAATCCTAAAAACTAAAGGTGAGATGAATAAATTTGAGTATAAAAACCATTGAATTAATAAATAAAACCAGGAGTTAGTTTTATGAGAAAACAAAACGGATAAACAATTAGTTAATTTTGTTAAAAAGAGAGAAGAAAACCAAATCATTAGTAACAAAAATGAAAAGAGTGAATATGCCACTAATGAAGATGAAATTAAAGCAATTATAAGGCATTATTTTGCCCAATTAAATGCCAATAAATTTAACAATTTGAGTGAAATGGAAGAACATTTACAAAAATATAAATTCCTTATATTAGCAAAAGAGGAAATAGAATATCTGAATAGACCTGTTTTAGAAAAAGAAATTGAATAGGCCATAAATGAACTTCCTAAGAAAAAAGCACCAGGACCAGAAGGATTTACAAGTGAATTCTATCAAACATTTAAAGATCAACTAATTCCAATATTAAATAAATTATCTGGGATAATAGGCAAAGAAGGGATCCTACCAAACTCCTTTGATGAAACAAATATGATACTGATACATAAACTAGGAAGAGTAAAAACAGAGAAAGAAAATTATAGACCAATTTCATCAATGAATATGGGATGCAAAATCCTAAATAAAATACTAGGTAAAAGATTATAATATATGACAAAGATCACACATTATGATCAAGTGTAATTTATACCAGGAATGCAGGGATGGTTTAACATAAGGAAAACTATTAATATAATTGATTAGATCAATAATAAAAGTTTTTTAAAATCATACGATTATATCAATAGAAGCAGAAAAAGCTTTTGATAAAGCACAACACTCATTTCTATTAAAGACACTTGAAATGACTGAAGGGGAAAGCAACAAATGTAGGAGGAGATAGGGCACACAGTAAGAACTAAACAAATAGATGTTCCCTTCCCTTTTTTTCTTCCTGAGGGAAGGAAGGGGGAGAAGGGTAGGATGGAAGACTCTTAACCCCAATTGCCCTTCTCTACATTGCACTGTCCCCTTCACCTGGAATGCCTCTCTTCTCTTCTCAGTAAATCCAAAGCATATCCAATTTCTCAAAACAAAACCTGGCTATCACCCCTAATAGTGTGCCTAGAAAAATCATTAAATACCCATAACTTTAAGTGGTGGGAGTAGAATTAGAATAAGAAACGTAGAGGTATACAGAGCTGAATACCAGGAAAAGAAATCTAGAATTTCTCTGGGAGACAATGGGTAGCCATGGTAGGCTTTTGAGTAGTGATGTGAAATGCTGAAACTATTCTACTTTAGGAAGATTAGTAAGATGATCAAATACAGAATAACTGGAGAAGGGAGACACTTGAGGGAGGATGAACACCAAAGAAATTTGTAAAAATAATCTTGTCTAATATAAAGTGGCAGCAAGAATGCAGTAGAAAGTATCAATTTGAGAAATATTATTTCAAAAAAGAAGACAGCAAGAAATGGGATACAGAGATTCAAGGAGAATGAAGATAGCTGCCATATTTCAGACCTAAGTGACTGAGATACTGGTGGAACACTTACTAGTATTGTGAAATTTGGGAAGCATTTGCTTGGGAAGCCAATTCCATTTTGAAAAGTTTAGGCTGTTGTTTTAAACAGAATAAATATGAGGTGATTCAGCATATTTAAATCAGGAATTCTTATTTACCTGGGGTCTATTTTTTTTTTTTAAGTATTTTGATAACTGGATTTCAGCACATTTGGTTTCCTGTGTAAACCCATAGGTTTTATCTTGTTCATTTAAAAACATTATTCTGAGAAGGGATCCACAGGCTTCCCCAGACCGCCAATGAGATCCATGACATAATAAGAGCTAAAAACTGAATGGAGATATCTTAAAGGTAACTGAAAATATGGGCCAAAGGCCACAGCCAGAGATAGAGATGGGAATATTATTAGCACAAGAGAGACAGGTTAAACTGTACATCATATGAATTTTCCACAGGAAAAAGGGAGTAAAAAAGTAAATAAATAAAAGACCTAATGACTCAGTCTTGTGGGGACATTCATCTTTAGGGACTCTTACTAAGCTTTAGAAGCAGGAGAAAAAAGGGTATAGAAGAAAAAGAAGGAAAACAAGGATAATACAGCATCACTATGTCCCTCCAAAAAGGGTGAAGTTTCAAGGAGTCACATATCAACAAAATCAAGTATTACCAAGTAGTCAAGGAGAAAAAGGAATAAGAAAAGACAAGGACAAAACATGGAAATAAAAAAGTCCCTGCTAACCTTCAGGAATATGAGTTTCAGTAAAAAGAAAAAAGATTTCATGGAGCTAAAGAGAGAATATATGGTGAGAGAATGCAGGCAGTGGGGGTGGACCAATTATTTTAAAAATTGGCACTGAAATAAA